TATTCAAGGCCTGGGGGCCTTTCTGTCAGGAACAGAGACTTAAACCTCTGAGCCACACGCTGGCCCAATTTATAAGGTTCAGTTCTGCAAGTCCTTTCTGCCTGTGCACAGTTTGGTGACTGAGCTCACCAAGCAAAACTCAGTGTTTGGACTGTGCCATTTCTCACTGCAGGGTTTATTGCTGTACGCTGTTCTGCTGTAGATAACAGAAACGTGTGAATGGTGTTTGTAATCATTTCCTTTCTGCTTTCTGTCTGCACCACTCTTTGTCTCTGACGTTGACAGTTACTGTAGAATTTATCAGGGTGCCTAAGTTGCTTCAGCCATTGTAGAACTTGCAAGCTTCCAAAGAGAGAAGGCTTCCTTGTTAGCTGGTTTATCTTTCGCTGTCCTGTGAGTGACGTGTTGCCATGCGCTGTTAACTAACATGGTGTTCACATGCCCCTTTGCTTGTTCAGTTTGACCTGCCCTGGTGTAAGCCCTCTCTCTCTCTTCACAGGATCTGCAGTCTCATCTGATGAAGGAGATAAGCCACATGCGCTCAAGCTCTGAGCATGAGGGCTCAGACGGCGTCCTGCATGACAGCCACGAGCACAGTTCCTGCGAGTTGGAGGTATGGCAGAAGCGACAAGGGGAACACTGCTGCAATTGATCACTGTCACCACCTAGTGGTCACTGCCTTTGAAATTCGGATTCTGCGATCGGCCGTCTAGCTGGATGTCGATTGAAGGTGTGCTTTCTGCTCGTGGGAGTTTTACTTACACAAAAATGTTCTGAGGGCAGAACAAAAAATGATTGATTCTGAGAGATAACCAATCAGATTGTAGAGGAGGTAGGTCCAAGCAACTAGAGGACATGGGACCAAGACATCTGATTAGTTGGTCCCTCAGAACATTTTTGTGTAAATAAGTCCTATGAGCGTGTTTTCAGGTCCCGTGTGACGCCTATGTACCAGCCAACACTCGTTATTTTTCTTCTGGCAGGTGCTGCTCCGAGTGAAGGAGAACGAGGTCCAGTACCTGCATAAGGAGATCGGTTGCTTGAGGGACGAGCTGCTCTCCCTCAGCAAGGTTTGTAGGTGATATTTATGAACGTCCACACCTAAGCTGCTCAGCGTCTCCATCAGGCCTAAGGATGTATTACAGTAAGACCGAGGATAGCATCTACAGTATGTGCATATACCCTTCAAGTCCTGCTCTCCTCTGGTAGGAGAAGCGCTTGGCGTACGAGCGGTGCAAGGAGGCCAACGTGGAGCTGAACGCAGCGAAGAACCGCAGCGAACGGGAGCTTGAGGCCCTGCGTGAGCACCTGCGGCTGGCGATGGCGGCCCTGCGGGAAGGCCAGGAGCTGGGGAACAGCATGTCCCACTGAGACACCACAACCAGGTTGGAGATGGAGGCTGGTCGGCCCAACCTGCTTACCCAACTCCCCTTAGGAGAGAGAAGCCCTGTGGTCGTCACCATTCTGACAGCCATGTTGGCTTGTCTTCAGAAAGCTTAATCTCCAGGGGCTCCAACATGCTCAACGCTACCCAGTGCCGGTCAACCCAATAGGTGACATAGAGGGTGCTGGTTTAACTAGCCAACTTCACTGCATCTCGTACGGGGCAGGGGGGCGCACTGGCATTGATAGCTATTCTAGAGTGCCATGTTGGCTTTGACCGGTACTGACACAGCCTATGGTGACATGGAGATTGGCAGGGAGATGAAGATACCAGGACATGTGATTCTGTAGCAAGGGAACGCTGACTTGGTTCACGAGTTTCCTACCCAAGTACTGGCTCACTGTTTTGCACTTCTTGTCGCACGTTTCAGAGGGACAATACAAGAACTTAAATGTTATACCACTATAGTTGTGGCAAAGGACTGGAGTATAAGGTCTATTTAAACAATTATCGCCTCACTTCTCCCTTGGTACCCAAGGGCCCTATGAACGTGGAGACAAAAAAGCATATTAGGACCACTATACGTGGTCACTACGGAGGTGGATTCACTTAAATTTTCTCACACCTTCTTTGAAATCTTGCATTTTCTTCTGTACTTCCACTTTTCACCTTCTCTTGTTTTGCAGTGTCTGCAGGCTATTTCTCTAGAGTTTTTTTCAGACTTTTTGAAGCACGTATGAATGTCACTGACTGGTTGATTAAATCAGATGGCTGTCCACGGAGTGGCAGTGTTCAGAATTTCTGAGATTGCTGTAAGTAAAAATTCACAAAAACTACAAAATCGCCGTTCTTGGGACTGCTTGGGCCAAACAGAGAAACACCCACAAATGTTTTGTACTTGCTATACATCATCTTGAATCTGTACATTGACATGCACCAATGTTAATTTTGCTCAAACACCCTGTCAGTAGGATGTAGCTTCACTCACTGATATCTGTTACTTGAAAGACATACAGTCCATTGATGAAGCATCATTGCTTCAGACTAACTTTGAAAAACCTGGAAAATGTTTTTGTTTGAACTCATTTTTCATGGTGCTGCAATATTTTTGTGTGTTTGGGAGTCAGTGGGTCAACGTTTCGCCACTTGGGAAAATCAGATTTTGTGGCAAATACTGGATTATCTTACTGCTTATGATGCAGGCTATAAAAATTTTACCATTTTAACTTCTAAAGAGTCACTTGTCACACAATTAAGAAAAAACCTCTAATTCAAGTGTTTTAAATCATTTTAATGACAATGAAAATATCCATTATTTTTCAAATGAGTTTTACTTTCTTGTGACCAGTAATATACAGAGCCTTAAGTTTTTATATTCAATAAACTGGTGAATCATTTTTGTCACATGTTGAGTAGGTTACAGTTACTATATTTGACACACCAATACAACAAATGTTAATAAACACTGTGATGATACTGCATTACTTTCTGTTCTTCTGTTAATAAATGTAACGTGTGAATTCTGCTGGGTTCCTAAGACCTCTTTTTGGTGATACTAGAATTTGTCTGATTTGTTGACATTGATGCGCCACTCAACCTGAAAGAGGAGAAGAGGAATCAGATGGTTATAGAGCCAGAAACCAAAATACTGGTTCATTGAAGTAAAACGAGTTATTTTTGCGGCATGTTCAGATCAAAAGATGAAAATGAGGCTAGTGTACAGAATGTCAGCTTTAATTCAGGTTCCTATTTTTCATCCTGAACTATGTTGTGTGAAGTGCCCTTTAATTTCCACTGAGCATAAAGTGTTATTCCACGCTGAATGTTCGTCCTATTTCACAGTTACAACTACTTATCTGATACTTTAATCCGATCTTCTACCCTGGGTAATTTTAGTACAGAAATTCCAATTTCAGGTGCTTTGTCCATGAGCCACACTTAGAACCATTTATAAGGCTGTATTCTGCACACAGCTCTGCTGATTGGTGCCCCATAGAGCTCAGTAGTGCAGTTCCTGCCTGTCACTTTGTAGGTTGAGGTTAATTTGCATAAAAATTTCTAACATACAAAATGGATCTGTATGAGCTTTTGCGATTGTCTTTAAGGTGTTTTTTTCTTTCCTAGATTTACATGGCGGACTGTGAAATCAGTGGGAAGAGTAAGACATGCAACAATGTCCTATGGCGTTTTCATATTTTCAATAAAACGATCTACTGGATGTCATTACACATTCTAACATGAGTGATTTAACATTTTAAATAATGTTAAATTTCTATTTATTATAAATAATGTTAATTTACTGGGGGCGGTGTTTGGCTCAGTGAGGTAGGGCACTATGATCAGAATCCCACGGTCAGCAGAGTGATTCACCATTGGCCCAGAGAGCCAGTCCCTTAAAGTGTGCCATAAATAAATGTAATGAAAATGTACTATTCACTATTAAATGTCTTAAATGACGGTTTTAACAATAAAATTGTACATTCATCCAGTGGTTGATACAGAGAGTAGCCGATAGGCTCAACCTAGGGACACCTATGTGAAACTCATTACCGCACATTTTTTAAAAACAGGCTTAGATATTTACAATATGTGACCGCAAGAAAAATACAGCCGTGACTGTGGTGTCCAACCAACACGCAACGAAAAACTCGCACGGAATTATGGGTACAATTTAACATATAACGTCAGTCAAGAAATGTAAGAGAGGAAGTTCCAAATATTATCATACATAATTATAAGAAAACAATTCACATTCAATGTAATTAGTCAAAATGATGATTTAATTCAAATAAATCTTTATATAATATTTTTAATCTGAATAAGTGAGCCATCCATAGATCCACCCCTGCATTCATCTAACTTCTAACCCTACATCCTGGTCAGGGTCTTAGAGTAAAAATTACACATGTATTAAAACTTCAGTTTCACCAATGTGTAGAATAACCAGAATATTTGTTCATATGTTAATCTTCCTGGAGGAAGGACTTCCCTGGCACTAAGTTTGAATGGTTTTGAATGGTAATGAGTGATTCCTTTCGGGGGACTGACATACTTTCTGTCCAATAAAAAGCATTCGGCTCTGTCGCTGAAACAAAGAACAACCCAACCCAATAGCAGCAGCGGCTGTGGTTTCGTAGGAATGAATAAGACATGGTGAGACTTGTGAGTAATGACTTATATTTTTAAAGAGGAAACTAGTTTTTTCCTAAACAATCTAGATCATAAATTATGAGACTCACCTTCAATGATCCGGTCATCTTGACAGTTATTTTACTTTTTAGAAATGTATTAAGGTGACTATAATTTGTGAAACGGGTGGCAGCTTCACGATGCTGTTGTCCCCATTTATACAATCTTAAGACAGCAATAATATGTGTCAACTAGAAGTCAGCAAAAACCTCCTTGACGTAAAGGCCAGCGCTATGTACACAAATGTACAAGCGTATTACAGAGTATATGTTGACAATATCGTATTTAAAAACATTCACAGGAATGCAGTGTTACCTGCAGAGCGAACGTCAGCCTACGTCAGAATCATAAAGGCTACTGGGAGTGTCGAAAACGTTCATACAACATACAACCAAGCACTTAGAGCCCTGTAAAGTACGTACGTCTTGGTTTGTTGTGGGGGGGTACGCTAAACCCAGAACTCCGAACACACGCATTTGGGGGAGATGCAGGGAAATGACAAGGCAAAATTTTACCGCATCAATATAAAGTTCGAATTTAAGCTATACAGGAAGATTAATTACTGTACGGCTTCGAGCAACGGACCCCGGTTCCCCCCCCCCTACCCCCCTCAGTAACCGCAACCTGTTTGCACACATGTATGTATGGCATCTACAAACCTGTGTCCAGGGTTTAATCATCGTCATCCTCGGGAACAAAGATGTCGTTTTCTTCAAGCATAATGGCAAACTTCTTGCTTATCTGAGTTCCAATAAGTAGAAAAGGGACTACCACAATCATAATGCGAATCATTCCGAAGGGGATCTGCGAATTGCAAAAAAGAAAAAGAAAATCACTTAGTTACATCTTACAGAAAGATCATTCGATATTAGCATTTAGACACAGAAAGGTGCATGAATATAACATGAATGCATGGCAAGATTTAATTTTGCCCTACGAGGCGTATAATTTCACAATCAAGTCCCTATGGGCTGAAATTACGGGGGGTGGCGGGGTGGTTGAACCCCCCCCAATAATAATAATAATAATAATTAATACTTTATTGATCCCCGTGGGGAAATTGTTTTTACGCCTCCCCCAACTTGCTCTTTGTAGAGCAAGCTGTCCGCGAAGGGCTGCCACCCGTAGCGGCGCCCAGGGAGCTGGGGATTGAGGATCTTGCTCAAGGACCCGCAGACGTGCTGAGGCTGGGCTTGAACCAGCAACCTTGTGATTACAGGCACACGGCTTAGCCCACTGAGCCACACACAATAATCACGTACTCCCCCCCAGCCCAGAGTTCAAGCCAAAGTTACGCCGTTGTAAGTACCTGACTCTTGATTACAACACATCTTTCCACCTGAGACTTCCTGACTACGTACGTTTCACTCTTTATGTTGCGTATCAGACTAAACGAATGTCGTAAATTACAAATATATCGTTAAAAATTCACCTGCTTGTAACATTTATGGGGTTTTAATATAGGCCATACTGTTTTTAATATAAAAGTATTCTCGACTCAGTGAACCAGAACCACTGAGTTGAAAAAATCATTTTCGGATGGAAGTCCTTCTATACCACCGTCGAAACATTTACAGTTATGAATAATTTCAATTACTATTATTTTCCGATTGCTGCTTAATTAATCCAGTGTGGTCCTGTCATGCGAAACTGCCGCTTACTTATAATCTCCCCAAACTTACTTTAGTCGGCTTAGGCAGAATGGCACCGGACGTCGTTGACACGGCGTTTCGACACTGAATAAGACGCGATGTGCCCAAAAACCTGCATGCAGTGTTACGTTTTAGGATTGCACTGTTTTTTAATGCATAAAACCTAAGAACTCCGGCGACTGCTGACGCCATCTTCCTGGTTTAAATGCCCCTCTAGTTTAAACTGGAAGTTCTGACTCCTTAGTTTGCCTTGTAGGTGGGACTTTGACGTTAATGAGGCGTGTTTAAAGGCGTGTCGGGTCGTTTTGAAAAAAAAAAGAAAAGAAAAAAAAGTACACGTTGCATATCAAGTATTTCAAAGTAATGCTGTAAGTCCAGAGTTTTACTGCAACAGGAAACACACGTTAATAAATAAACCAGCTGGATTTTTACAGTTTTTAAGTTGTCCGTGTTATGTAACTTTTAATTACTTTTTAATGAAATAATGAATAGCATTGCTGTGCATTGCACTGTTGGTCACTGGGTGGCACTCACACTTCCAGCGGGGGGGGTACGTATCCCACACTCACTCCATATGTGCAAAAGATTAGGTTAGTGATGAATGTCTGGATACCTGGCCCACTGTATTTTTATTCCCGGTAAATTATTACGGATTACAATTTAGGGGAAATAATAAAATGAATCTAATTAAATGAATTCTGCAAACTTTAACTTCTTCATTCATTGTTGCTCATTAATTGCTTGGGGTCAGAATATCTCCATCCATCTATCTATCCACTCATCCACCTATCGATCTTATAACTGTTTATTCTGGTTATTGTTGCTGAGGTGGCCGGAGCCAACCCAGAGCACAAGACTGGGGTAGACAGATGGATAAATGAATTATTAACATCCTGGATGGCATGCCAGTCCATCACAGGGCACACAAAATTAGGGACCCCACTTAGCCTAAGCGCTTGTCTTCGAATTGTCGGGGAAAACCGAAGTGAGGAGAGGAAGCCCACATGGCATGCTGGAGTTATCAACAAAGAAATAGAAGAGGAGTATAGAAGTCTGAAGGAGATGTGTAAGAAGAGCTACCGGCATCTCAGTGTGAGAAAGACAAAGCGGCTGGTGGCAGATATTAAATATCTGAATAATATAGGTACCATTATTATTATGATAAAACCGTATGATGCATAATCACTGTGTTCATCAACACATGTCTCTTCCCTCCCACAATCTATACCCCTCTGAATAGCAGAAGAGTCATCCATCCACTCACCACATGCATCCCTTTCTCTCAGCACTGAAACTTAGTGAGACACCAACACCAAGCTAAATTTGGTATGAGTGTGGAGGTTATTGAGGCTGTTGTGCAACTTAACCACAAGAGAGAGCAGAGATTCTACCTGTTTGCATTTGCTGAGCATGAAAGCATAGAGAAATCCATCACAAGTAAGAGAAGCACACACACACACATACATATATTGTTAAACAAAAACAAACAGCACAGAAATTATTGGGATTCATACCCAGGCACGGGAAACCATAGTTGTTAAGGTATGGCATAGCTGCCCCATAAAGGGCATTGAACCATTTCCCAGAACCGTGTCTTTCCGTACGTAAGAGGACACATATGAGAGAGACATTTAATTTCTTCTGCTCTGGCCTATTTGGCTTTCATTATGAAATTGTGGTTTTAGGCTGTCCTGCCAGCTGCCATCTATCAAATAGGCAGCCTCCACAGTGCCTGAATCAGGCGTGTGTCTTTAAATATATATATATTTGCTGATTCAATTTAAAGAATGGAATTTTCTTTCTGTATTTTTGGAAGAAATAAGTCTGAGAACATTTAGTCCTTCTTTACTGAGCACAAGTATGAATTGCTATGTATCACATCAAAAGAACCTTACATGTCCATTTTCCACCAGCCCCCCTGCTCCCCCCTCCCCTTTGGCGGCTCTTATATGATGTGTAGCACCTAACAAACAGAAGTAAACAAGAGGTTGTTTCACCTAAAACTAATACGGTACAAGATCCCCACAATCCTGGTATCAAGCAGTTCAGAAGCAATAAGCATCCCATATGTCATGCGCTTAAATGATAAAAGGTACCTACTCACATACTTGTGACAGTTCTCACTGCTAGGGGTGGTATGCGGAGGACACACCTAATGCCAGTGGATAGAATCGGTTCAGCACAAAAGTGCATGAGGACATATACTGTAAATAAACACTGAAGCAGTTTGATCTGGGCTCCAGATGCCTCAGCTGCACGATGTCAGCTCTAGCGATTCACTGGAGGCAAAAAGCACCATCAGAATTCAATATACAAAACTGTAAAATAAATTAAATCTTTTATCGGTTTATTTACCTTATTAACACAATCCTTTTGCTATTCTACACAAAACTATGCAGAATTCTTAAGCATATAAAATCAAGCACCTAGCCATGCAGTCAGGTTCACGAACATTTGTGCTAGATATTCCACGGTCAAGTGCAAGTGGTAGTATTGCAAAGTGGAAGCATTTAGGGACAGCAGAACCTCAGCCACAAAGTGACAGATCACGTGAAGTAACAGCAGGGTCACCGAGCGCTGAGGTGCATATAGTGGGTAAAAGCTGTCAATGCTCTATTGACTCAATAACTGCACTGTTCCAAACTTCCTGCATTAACTGCAGCACATAAATATGCACCAGGAGCTTCATGGAGTCGGCTTCCACTGCCGAGCAGCTGCATGTACACCTCACATGACTAAGTGCAGTGCCAAGCATCAGATGCAGTGGTGTAAAACACACCACTACTGGACTCTGGAGTAGTGGAAACATGTTCTGTGGAGTGACGAGTCACACTTCTCTGCCAGTCTGTTGGACGAGTCTGAGTTTGGCGGTTGCCAGGAGAACGTTACCTGCTTCACTGCATTGTGCCAACTGTACGGTTTGGTGGAGGAGGGATAATGGTATGGGGTTGTTTTTCTGGGGTTGGGGTAGGCCCAGCGGCCTTAGTAACAATGAAGGGAACTCTTAATGCTTCAGCATACCAAGACATTTTAGACAATTCTATGATATCAACTATGTGAGAACAGTTTGGGGAAGGCCCTTTTCTGTTCCAGCATGACTGTGCCCCACCACACAAACCAAGGTCCATAAAGACACGCTTAAGTGAGTTTGGTGTGGAAGAACCTGACTGTCCCGCACAGAGCCCTGACCTCATCCCCACTGAACACCTTTGGGATAAACTAGAATGGAGATTGTGAGCGAGGCCTTCACATCCAACATCAGTGCCTGACCTCACAAATGTTCTTCTGGATGAATGTGCAAAAATTCCCACAGAAACACTCCAAAATCTTGTGGAAAGTCTTCCCAGAAGAGTGGCAGCTGTTATAGCTGCAATGGGGGGGCAACTCCATATTGATGCCTATGTATTTAGCATGAGATGTCATAAAAGGTCCTGTAGGTGTAATGGCCAGGTGTCCCAATACTTTTGTCCGTATAATGTATGTTTATTTATGAAGACGTGATAGTGAAGACAACACAACAATAACATTGAGGTTATAATAAATGACAATGGTGATGTAAATCGAGGGATTTTGAGAAAATATATTTAAGGAATATTGAGGAATGTTGAGGAAATGTCACAACAGAATTGACACTACAGAAATGTCGTTAGCGTCGTTGCGGCAACGTCGCTGCCCACGGCGGAAGAGATGGTGATGACGTCATTGCGAACAGCCAATCACAGCAGGCAACGGGGAGCACTTCCTTAAGTCACAGAAACAGCCGAGCGCGCTTGGTGAGAGGGAAGTGCAAGACCTGAAAGTGCATAAGAAAGAAAAAATATTTACATATAACAAAGATATAGGATGTACAAAAATTACTAGCGATCGAATGAGATTTATTGCTATCACTCCCAACCAACAAGGCATATATTTTCATTTCTAATAAATATAGTCCAGCTAACTTTCGATAAGAGTGTAGCTAGCGCGACGGATAGCCAGCGAAGTATCGCGCCACACCGCTGCTCGTGCTTTCAAAAAAGGCGTCGCGTCGGGGGGTGAAAACAGCAAAATAAGTGTGGGGAGCATGTGGAGCTGGTGAATGGTGCCACATAACGCCGTTTACGCCATCGCTAACCGAATCGGGAGGCTTGCGAAGTGAAATAAAAGTTGCTCTCCCCAGGCCTGTCGGGAGCGACTGACTGTCGTATGTATAGACAAGCGGCGTGGGCTGTCTGTCAGAAAGAGGAAAGATGTCGGCTCAGGCGCAAATGCGAGCGATGCTGGACCAGCTAATGGGCACGGGCAGAGACGGTGAGTTCAAGGAAGCGAGAAATTAATAATAGTCAAGCTTATTTAAAGGCACCAGGGGAAATGGCTTAACTGCACTGCTATCTGTGCGGGGAAAGGAAACGCGCCTGTTACCGGCCGCTCGATGGCAGTGATCGAGCTCTTCATTCCGCTTTTGAAAACAGCGTTTCATCGCCTTTCAGCTTTTTCAACTCGTTGCTTACGGTTTGCCTGCGAACGGTTGGGGTTTCATGTTTCTTTGTTAATTTGGCAAACGGGCCGGTAAATTGAAACTGAAACCCGATGCACTTAAGAGTTTCGGATAGGCAACCCTTCGCTGCTTGCCCCATTAAAAAACAACATAAAAAATCTCTAGCTGTGATGCATAGTGGTCCTTTTAATTTTGCTTGCATGCGTCCATGTAACGAGTCGAAGTAGCTGAACCGAGTTATGCTATTACCACATTTTAAAACCTTTATCTATTCATGTTATGAAGTAGATCTCCACAGATACCGCGATTGCTTGGAAGGTTTACAATATAACTTCATTTCACCTAACGTTAGCCATGAAATTTGTTTTTGTTTTTTAGTTATTTATAAATCTGTTCCTGTACTTTAATATTCGTCAATAATGTTCAGATGTAAAATTGACGTATATCTTGCACGGCTGACGGTGTGGACCTGTTTCGCCTTGTCTGGACTTAAATTCTTTTCCCTTAGGAGATAGCATGCGACAGAGGATCAAGTTTACAGATGAGAGAGTGTGTAAAAGTCACCTGCTGGACTCCTGCCCTCATGACATTCTGTCAGGCACCGTGAGTTTCCGGCCCTTTTTCACTAATTGGGTTCTGGGATGCATTTGCATTTGACTTAGTAGCTGCAGTCATACCAGAGGATGCACCTTTGACACCTGTATGCATAGCAGAGAATCCCTTGGCTCTGAGGTCATAGATGCATGAGGAGCAGGTGGATATGGTGATGCTGTTTTCATACATACTGAGATGTGCCGACGTTACAGCGCATGGACCTGGGGGAGTGTGTTAAGGTTCACGACCTGGCGCTAAGGGCAGACTACGAGATCGCCTCCAAGCAACAGGAATACTTCTTTGAGCTCGACGTGAGTCCTCTGCCACCGCATGACTTGCGATTGATTGTGTGCGAAGAAATCCTATGTCTGTGTACCTGTATGTATGCATATGTGTGTATACTGACAGTTCTGTTGAACCCCTCCCCGCCCAAAGGCCGCGGAGCACCTGCAGTCCTTCATCGCGGATTGCGACAGGAGGACAGAGCTGGCGAAGAAGCGGCTGGCGGAGACGCAGGAGGAGATCAGCGCGGAGGTGGCCGCCAAGGTGCTCCTCCTCGTCCGCCGCACCTTTTGGCGGGAGAGCGGCTGACGGAACGATGTTGATGACGGCGCCGAGCCGTTTCGGATCTCCGCTGTGCGTCGTCCTGATGCCCTCGTGCGCTTGCAGGCGGAGCGAGTGCACGAGCTGAACGAGGAGATCGGTAAGCTGCTGGCCCGGGCGGAGCAGCTGGGAGGCGAGGGCAACGTGGAGGAGGCGCAGCAGGTCCTGGAGAAGGTGGAGAAGACCCGGGCCCTGAAGAGGGAGGCGGAGGTGAGGACCTGGGGTGCTGTGACCCAGCGCTATAGGATTTCATCTCAGTTTCTCAGGATGTTGCAGATGTTCAAGAAGGTCCCATTAAAATGTTAACATCTGAACTCTCACCTTTTGTACCATCACACTTAGTCGTTGTAACTAACAGTGTCACTGTAATTGCAATCTTATTTAGAGTAATAGGAACTGTTGGGAATTTCACCTGATTTGGATATGAATAAAGAAATGATGTAACTTATGCCCATCTAAGGTACAGTTTTTGAAGAGGAAATTTGCTACGCTCTCTTTCTGTGCTCCTACCATACAGGGTGACTTATTTTTTTGTTAGGATATATACAGGAACTCAATGCCGGCTTCCAGTTTCCAGCAGCAGAAGCTCAGGGTGTGTGAGGTCTGCTCTGCCTACCTGGGTCTCCATGACAACGACCGTCGTCTGGCTGACCACTTCGGGGGGAAGCTTCACCTGGGCTTCATCGAGATCCGCGAGAAGCTGGAGAGGCTCAGGGTGAGGGTGTTATTCGTGGATGCCCGCCTGTACTGTCCATCTTAATTGATGAACGGTGTGTTTGCTATGAATCAGTATGCAATCATAGCATGGAGGCAGTGCAGGCTATAAAGAGGTCAGACAAGATTACATTGGATCCCTAGGGGACTCTACTCCAACAGTTATATAATCCTTCACCTATCCCATGGAGTATGTGCATATTTAAACATTTTTATAATGGTGCATTTTGGTGACGTATATTTCTGTGGCAGCTTATAGTTGGTGTTATTCTTCCCATAGGAATCACAGCTCCCAAAAAGATGCACTTATTTGCTTGACGGATTTCCTTTTGAAAGCCTCGGCTTGACAGAAAGTTTGAATATTTTTTTTAATTAGTTTTTATATCTGTTGAGGTGGGTTGTGGGTCGCTGTATACTAGCTGTGTGGAAGTGAGAGTCGATGAGTAAAACGGATAGAAATTACATTCATAGCCATTCTCACTTGAGGTATTTGCACATTCCTTCGTCTCTCTCATACTCTCTCCTTGTTTAAGATCAGCCAGAAATGAGAATTGCCGGTTTCACCTGTCTTCCCCCTAACCCGTCTTTCCCAAAGAAAGTGGTTGCTGAGAAACAGGAGCGGATGCGAATGAGAAGGAGAGAGGAACGAGATCGGGAAGAGGAGAGAGAGAGGGAGTGGGAGATGGAACGGGAGCGGGAACGTGAGAGGGAGCGTGAGCGGGAGAGAGACCGAGAAAGGGAGAGGCGGAGGTGAGAATGCAATACTGTTACGGTACTTATTTACTGTAAAGACTCAGTTCTACGATATGTGGCCAGTCAGGGTACACTTGGATATTTATGACTTGCTGAAGACGATATTTACTTATAAAGCTATTATCAATTTCAAATGTTTACTGAACAAATTGGTCAAATCTATATGGAATTCGTAACTAAGCTCATAGGCCAAAAATAAATTAAAGTGGGATTCTCACTAATTCAATGTACTTAAAATTAGTGGTACTATTTTAGGTGATTCTAGCAAAATGAAAAAAAAAAAATCTTAAAAAAATATACAAATCTCCCCAGTGTTACCTATGCTTATTGATATTTATTTAAGGTGATATATAATCTTTTAAGGGGGAGACTTCCTGGCAATCCAAAATCCATTCATAGTTACCCTATTTGCCATGATCTGGTGTAGCCCACTGGAATGATATTTGCATAAGAGCCCACGATTGGTCCTGTGTGCTTGTGACATTATGATTGGTGGTTCACCCAATGGGGCGCAGGCTACCGTTACCCAAACTCTTAATAGTTGGAGTAACACAGCACACTAGAAAATTTTTCATCTTTCATAATTCTTTTGATTTAAAACTGTAATTTACTATTTTATATAACTTTGTTTCTTGGTTGTACAAATGGAATATCGCAAATGCAGGCTTATTTCCAACTGCCAAAGTTATGCGGTAATTTATCATTGACAAAAGGAATTTAACCCACAACCAGGTCATAGAGGTGTTAAAGTGACATGTTTTAATCTCCCTGGAATTGCATGATGAACTTTGCAAAGATTATATTCCTGCCTTTGCATTTATGGCACAGTATGAGAGAGCTCAGAAACATTCGCTGCACTGGTTTTTGTGTGTTTAACACTTCTATGAAATCCTGTGCCATCATTGGTGGCAGCAAAAGTGATTGATTTGTGATTTTACAAACGAGTAGCTAGCAGTACTGTGAATATCTCACTGTGTGAGAAAACATCACGGCCAACAAAGGCAAAAGCACAAACATAAAGCATGCAATTTGCCTCTGTCATCCATATGAGATGAAAGGGTTTTGTTTCTGAAGAAGCTGTAAACCCCTTCGCTTCTGTCCACATTCTGCTCAGACAGCCATATAGGTGACTTCAGAGCTGGAAGGCCTCATTTTTCAGATATTTACTGTCACATTCATTCCTGAAATCTTAATCCTCATAATCAGTCCGAAATAAGTTCTGTAGTGATCAGATTAATTGTTGCAATTGTTACAGAATTCATCTGTTTTACATCTTTGGTCTGTTTTTTTGCAATCTGCTTTAAATGAACCTTTACCCTTATTTGCTTTTTTTTTTTCCATCCCCCCAGAACAAGGTCAAGAAGTGGTGATCGATACAGGTAGCTGTGCGGCATATCGTAACGTAGCCTTTGTGTTCGTTGTGTATCTTGGTGTCGAGATATGAAAAGTCCTCCTCTTGCAGGGATGGAGGTAGCTCATCAGCACATCGCTCCCGGCGCCATCGCTCCTCTCGTTCGCGAGAGGAGGGGGCTGAGAAGGACAGAGAGAGGAGACATAGACATAGGGAGAGACATCGCTCACACTCTCATTCTCACAGGAGCAAGAAGAAAAGGTATTTCTGCTGGAGATTGTAACAGCCAGTGCTTCAATATAGAAATGCAAAATGGCCAAGCTTGTCTCATTTTGCCGTGGATTGTCTCATACACTTATTCTGAAGGCCAGAGATGTTTATTCAAACATTTTTGTGTGCTATGTTGAAATTTTTTAGCTCAAGCATAGTACCGAACTGGTAGTTTGGCAGTACTGTCACTGGGAAAGGGCAATCGGTAGCTGACTTGTATTTACATCCACAGGTCTTCCAGAGACAGAGCGTCACACCCCAGTGAGAGGAATCAGCCACAGTCATGGGAGAGAGCCAAAGATGGAGGATTCCGGGCAGGGGAGGGCTGGAGAGATGAAGAGCTGATGGAACGAGGGCGGTCAATTTCACCTGAGATGGCGAGGGGAAAAGACTGTGCTCAGAGGAAGAGATCTGTCTCTCCGGAGAGAGATAGGCGCTCCAGCTCTGAAGAGAGAGAATCTGGGGAGATCTAGATGCAGACAGTGTGGATGAGAAGTTGCCAGATGGGGTGTTTGTGTTGTACATACGGTATATATATAAATATAACAACAGGGAGGAGTATAAATTTGATGAGAGGATGGGGGACACTAGGAGGTGGAGTTATGTAAGATGCTAGAGCCCAAATGGGGGGGGTGGGGGGTGGAGGGATGAGACCACACTGGAATTTGGGAGGGAGGAGGTGGCGTAGTGGGTTTGAGAGAGGAAATGATCCGACTCTGTTTGGATGTGAGAGATTATCAACAATAAGGCAGGCAACAAAAGGATTTTTTTTTTTTTTACTGAAAAGATTCTACGCAATGCCTGTTTATTTTTATTTTATCATTGCTGTTGGTTTTTTAAGATTACCTGTTCTGCTGATTCTCTTGACATGGTGGCTGTGTATATGCATTTCAAAACATGGATTCCAAACCATTAAACCCCAGCTACAATTTCTCTGATGTGTACCCATACATCCCTTTGACACAGGAAAATGCAAGCTTAATATTACATTGTCCATGTATGTTAAATATGTATGCAGGATAAGGTATGTGTGGTTATGAATGCATTTTTCATTTCAACAAATAGTGACGAGCATTTGCATAATGGGGAAAAAACACAAAACTTTGTCCCGGTGCAGTACTTTTCAAGTGTCTGATGCATCTTTCTACAGTCCATACTGATTAAATAAAATTTTGGGTTCCATTAGGTGATGGCTGTTTTATTTTATTCATCCTATTGTGTGTGCAAACGGACCACAGAGGTTAGAAACTACACACATTGAAGGAAAAATGTGATGCATATGAATTTCATTTTCAATAAAAAGTTCTGTGCATGCAGTGTGAAAATATTAAGTTATATAAGACGGAGGGTGGTGGGTGTCTGTTCTACTTGACCTACAATACCAATAAAACGTCTGAAATGTATGCTGTCCCCTTGTGGTACAAATCGAGAACGGCATGCGAATATTTTAAATTATGGATTAACGAACGAGTTTTATACGACAGATTATTCTAGTTAAGGAGAGCTACACTTACCATAAAAATTAAACGCTCATCCAGTTTTCCAAAGATAATTGGATTGCTATAGATATTATGTGGCAGTAGACAAGAGTTTCATAAAGTTCAACTGTGTTCTCAGATGAACAAGACTACTGATGAAAACTTATTACTTAAATTTACTTCTGCTTTTTTAACATGAAAAAGGACGGGGCAGATCACTACCTACAAGGCATCTCGCAAAGTAGGCGAGTCACCTCAGACAGGGCGACCTGTACCCTTTCAAAAATTCTTCTCGCATAAGCCAGCGAGGACACGGGCGTCACCCCGCGTCGTTATTTTCCTTACTCATCAGTTTAAGGCATACCGAAAACATGGAGCAGGAGAGTACACGGTGCCGACCATGTAGAAAACCATTCAGGGTGGGAGAGGCGCAATATTTCTATATGATTTGTTTGTCTACTTAATTTTCAGTTGACACCAGAATTTGAAAGTAGTTCATTTACAATTCTAATAAATAGTTATTAATGTATTAAATACGATGGGGAAAATCACAAAAATTATCATTTAAACACATTCAGAGGCCGCAAAGACTTCTGGTCCTGTGGTGGGCGTGGAATGGAGATGGACGCAATTGGTGGCGATGTAGTTTTATGCAAATTCATAGTATTCATTTTATTATTGATGGTATAAATAACCTAAAGTGTGATTGTAAATGCGTTTTAGGTAACAGATAAAATAGTCTGTTGGGATCAATCTTTAAGGCAAAGTGAGAGCAGCTTAATATCTTTTGTTTTAACATTTCACGTGGTTACATGAAGTTTGGTCCCTTACGACCGCCATCGCCGTCACTCCCTCCCTTTTCGCGTCACAAGCTATTCAGTCTAGTTAGAAAGAAGATGGCGGATCTGTCTTTGGACGAATTGATTCGCCGACGCGGATTAAACTCTAAATGGACCGACAGCAGGTATAAAATCTATATTGGTGTTTTTATTCTGTGTACTCAACGTGAATATACGGTAGATAAGATTAAGTAAATTGTATTGTTGGCTCTCTTAAGGAAAAGAATGGGCTGGTTTAGTTTCCAACGCACGTAACACCGTAGGACAGGCCTACATTTCGCGTTCCTATTGGCCAGAATACGGATTCCGCTTATCAAACGCGTTTGTGATTGGTCACTGTGGTAGTGGTTTACGGTCTCTCCTGTTCTATTTCGTCGATATTTTGGCAGTCCCTAAAAGCATTAATAAACTCCATCTAGAACAAACAACATCTTATTAGATACATTTAATCCGTCGTGGTACCATACTACAGATACATGTAAGATTATAAATTGACCCGTTGAACTATTCTTAATTTTTAAATGTGTAAAATTACAACCGTGTTTGCTATCTGTTCGGAGTGCAGCGCTGTATGTATTTTGCACGTTTGTTGTAACTTTTTAGATGTTTGCGAAACTGTACGAATATGGAATGTGGTTACCTTAATTTTTTGAGATAACATTGTGCACATATGAGCCAAACATATGTATTTGGGTGTAAGGATTGCATGTTGGCCTTAATACAATGTGTTAGTTCCAATCGAGTAGCCCACCAAACAAACACGGGACGTTAGCCAGTAACGTCTTTTGGGTTATCATTTTATATCAGACTTGGTATGCGTGCTTAACTATCAAAATACTCAACATACATATGTACCAATTTAATAAAACTGCGAAAGAATTCTAATGTTCTTTATTAATTTGCATGATGTACATTGTTTGTGTTAGACGTATATGTACCTGAATTCATACCCAAGACTATACAAACCACCGTTTTAAACGGCAGTGATCTACCCTGAACCTAAAATCGTGTTGTTTCTCCTCAGGCCTGCATTTCGGCGGGGTGGCGGAGCCGTCGGCAGGACGTTTGATGCCAGACAGAAAATCGGAGTCGCCGATGTCAGGCAGAGGATTGGTGGGGTTAGAGGTAATCCACTAACCCCGGCCCCAGTTTCTGGTATTTGTCTTGCATTTTTAAAGAAATGTTTAATTGGTTTGAAAACATAAATTCTTGTTGGCACTACAGAAAAGACTACGACAAATCTTTGTATTTTGATACATGGCCAATATTCCCTATCTCGTCAAAGATTTTGTCTGCTTTCCCTTCAGCGTGACATTCTTTTGTCGCTTAAAGGCACAGCAGTGGGTATGGAATGTGGGTATGGGTTTGGTTTGCTGGGTGGGTAAGCTTTGCATTTCAACAGTACCTGCTCCACACTTCTCCAGGAATGTTGTTTGTGACAGCCTTTCAGGAATATTCTTACTGCCCCAGTAAAAATGCTCAACAACAGTAGTTTATTTGGCAGTGCATGAATTTAGACTGATAATATCGGGAATGTAGTGGATGTTTTCTCTACTCTGGAGTGTAGCAATTTAGGTATAAGCACAAGTATAAGCAAAGCGCGCACATTCTGTGCATCTGTGCATGCAGCCATCCATTTTTTTTTCCAGGCGTTTCATATAGATATTACTTTGATCTTACTTTGGTCTCTCTGTAACCTTCCTGCTGAAAGATGCCCGCGAGAAGCTGGCCCAGAAGGACGCCCGCTTCCGCATCAAAGGAAGGGGGGCGGGAGGGACCATGCAGGATGCCAGGCAGATGATCAACTCTCGCAAGCAGCTGCAGCAGTCGCAGAGCGTAACGCAGCTGCATTCACAGTCGGCACAGTCGCACGGCAACAGCGTCGGAGCCAACTCGCATGCCACCCTCTCAGGCCTCGCTTCCCCGCAGGGGTTAACCAATAGGGTGCTGGGGTTGGAGCAGGGGGCAGGACCTAAGAAGGTGGTGGATGCACGGGATAGGCTCAGCCTGAAGAGGAGTGTGGCCGTAGCCCTGCCAACGGTTGGGTCTCCATTACCTATCAAAATTACAAAGACCATCCAGGTAAGACAGGAGTAGTTACGGTTTCAGGAAAATACCGGTGCAGCAGTGTAATGAAAAAATAGCAGGAATGCTTAAGTGATTTATATGCCATCGATCTCAAATTATAATACATAATTTCCTTCCTTCCATGAAACTCTTGATTAAAGCTCTGTCCATAGCAGCGAGCAGTTCAGTGTAATTGTGTGTCTCCCAAGATCTGTCTAAATGCCGCTTCCCTCTCTGTCTGTCAGCAAAAGCCGGTGGGCATGACCAGCGGGGTCCGCATCAACATACCGAACAGGAACACCGAGGTGATACCAATCCCCATTTTTGGCACAATTTTGATGAAATGTAAACTAGTTAATAAATTTGGCCAGTGTACAGTCTGTCATGTGGTGATTGTAATAATTATCATAGTTTAACATTTTCGTCTAGTAAAAATTCTAATTGTTACTACCTGGGCATGAGCTCTGCACTAAGCATGTGACTTTGGGGTGTAGCTCTTATTGGACGATCGCAGCTCTGAGCTGGCTTTGCCAGTAAAAAAAATTTTTTTTCCTCATTCAGTCTCCCTCAAGTGAGGATGACCTCATCCCTAGCAAGCACAGCTTCCTTCACACAAAGGTGAGTCGTGATTCATGTCACTGGCTGCGCATGTTGTGTGTAAATGACATGGTACATTCATAAGCATTGGTGTGCTGCACATCACTGGACTGAACCATCTCTCACATTGCTTTGGCCAAAGTGCTTTGGCCAGATTGCAGTGTTGGTGAGCCCCCCCCCCACCGGTATGCCCTTCACGCAAAACTCCTTTATCTGTTAAACATGTTTTATTGTATTGTCATTTTTTTAACTCCAAGATATCATTTTACTGACCCTTTAAGAGTGAATTTAAGATTATTTTTTTTTATCAAAAGCTAATCTTAAGCATTATTTAGATTTTTTTTTAACTGTTTGTAATATTTCATTGTTTATGGCATCACAATATAATATAGCCAGACCTCTTACCTTCTCTGCCCCCCCCCTCCAGCCTGGAGCCGTTAGTACTCCCTTCTCCCTGTCCACCCCCATCACCAAGGTTGTCCAGAATGACAGCTACACTGCGCCGGCCCCACTCGTCACACCCCCCCGAGCCGCTCCTGCCCTGCAGGGGACACGCACGGCCCCCGCCGCCGTGCAGCCCGTCTCGCGCACTCTCGTCACCGGCCAGGGTCAGCAGGGGGGTGCCAGCGGGGGCGCCGCTGCACCGCCGGCTGCTGCACAAGTGGGTGACACGATTTCCAGTGTTTTTTGTCGATGTGCATAAATATTGCTGGTGTTAGAGTTGCTGTTCGTGGGCTTAAATGCGGACGATTCTTTACAGTTGTATGCAAGAGCTTGGGCATCATTGGTCAAATTTACATGTTTTGTTAGTTTTCCTGGAAAGAATTAACTGAGATTTATCAGGCTGGAATAAAGCGTAATAGAAATTAAGCAGATAGTAATCGTGTGTCAATTTCAAGAACGATGTCATGTTCCCTGAAGTTAATTTCCAACAATGTGTGTTCATGTGTGTCTCAGTTCTAGCCATACTTTGCCATATGTACCTTTTCTTGTAAAAACAGAAGGATATTTGAGGAGTTATAAAGTGACATTTTCCTGGGATGTTTTTGCTTTCTGAATGTTGCATAGAGTCCTTGTTAAATCTGCCTGTGATCCTCGAGCTCAGCGCTCGCCTTGTCGTGCTAAAGGAGTCTCTGCTTTTTCTCTTTTTGGTTTCCCTCCATTCAGCCTGCATTCAGTCCTTTAGAGGGAACCAAGATGACGGTGAACAACCTGCACCCGCGTGTTACAGAGGAGGACATTGTGGTAGGATTGCCTTTCCCTCTGTCTGGCCGTATGTGTGA